TCATAGGTAGGATCACATCAACCTCGCTTTACTTCATTAGCCAGTTATTCCTTATTTATTATTATTATTATTATTATTCAAAATTCATTTGAAATTCTTGTAAATTCGCAAATACTTCATTTCTCGGCATTTCTTTTTCACAAATATTTTCTTTTTCGAAATTTTTGAACATACGTCGAATTAATCATTCTTTCTCGGCCTTTCTTCTTCGAAATTCAAAAAAATAATAATAATAATGAATTCTTTTTCGAAATCCTTGTAATTCGGATTAGTTAAATTCTTTTTCGACATTTCTTTTTCGAAAACATTTCTAATTAATTCTTTTTCGAAAATTTTGAAACTACTTATTTCTTCCTCGAACTTCGAAAATAATTCTAATTAATTATTATTTGGAAATATTTTAGAATTAATTCTTTTCGTTCGAATTAGTTAATTCTTTTCCAAAAATTTTGAAAATACGTTAGAATTAATTAAATTCTTTTTCAATATTTCTTTTGGAAATTCGAAAATAATTCTAATTAATTCTTTTTAAATCTTTTTCCCATTCATAAAATTCCTTTTTGCATTTTTTCTTGAAATTCGAAAAAAAAAATTCTCATTCTTTTTCGAAATTCTCTTTTTGTTCAGAAGTACTTCCTTTTTTTTTCTGAACTCCTTAATTAATTGCGACTAAACTCGATTAATTCACGACTGAATTAATCTCTTTTACTCGGAATTAATCACCCCTTTCGAAATTATAAAATTTTACCCCGAACATAAATCCGAATAAATTTCATCGGAATTTATTTTTCTCGGAATGAATTATTCTTTTTCTTCATTTGGAAATTCCTGAAAATTTTGCTTTCGTATTTTCTTGAAAAATACACTCGCGAATCAGTTTCGAATAAATTCAAATTAATTTACGCTCTATTCTTGTAAATAGGAATTGTCCCCCCCCATCTCCACATGCCACCACGCCAAACCAAGAACTCCCAACGCGCCGCCGCCGCCGCCGTCGCTGCTGCCGCCGCCACCGCTGCTGCGGCATCCTCCACATCTGTTCCGGCCGCGTCCTCCACCCCCTCTTCCCCCGACATGACCGCATCCTCCATCAACATGTCTGACATCCGCACCGACTCGGTCGATAGCATCGCCCGCAACCTCGCAGGCGAACAACCACCAGCAAACATCGCCACCCCCGACCTCTCCACCATCCTCCATGCACTCAACACCTTCCAAACCTCCGTCACCGCCTCTCTGGACGACATAAAGGCCACCATGTCGTCCATATCCGACCGCGTCACCACGCTCGAAGG